CCCCACTCGCCCCCCCCCTTCCCCCCCTGCGGCTGGTGAAACACCTCGACCCTCCCGGAGCAGCGACTGGAGCCGTTCACCAGCCGGAGCTGAGCTGCTCGTGGAATTACAAAAGACACGTGGAGGTCAAACACAGGCGCGTTTCTTGCACAGGCGGCGTTGAAAGATGGGTCCTCAAACGGTGGCCACCTGCAAGGAGAGATGCAGACTCTCATTGGCATAGACACAGGCATCTGACCCCATTTTAGGTGCCCTCGGGCACCCAAGAAACCCAGGAGGAGGGGACAGCCGTGACACAGGGCTGAATGGGAGATGCCCCCACATCGGGAGTGCTGGCAGGAGGCCAGCAAGTGCCACTAGATGCTGGGGGTCCTGGCAGTCCAGCCACTCAAGATGGACCCAAGGTAGAGGGGAGCTTCAATGGGCTTGATGGCACGGTGATCACCTGTGTCATGTTAGAACCGTGCATGTATGAAAAAGGAAAGGATGCTCCTAGCAGAAGAGTCGAGGGACCAGCTGAGGGCTTCTAGGGGAGAGCAAGGTGGTGCCTGGGGATGGACACTTGTTGTCTGGGGAGAAAGTCCTCACGGTGACCAGGGGAGCTGCTGCTCTCAGACAACCTGAAATTGGTTCCTCTACAGAGGCGAGAGACTTAACGTCAGCAGAGCGGAGGTCTTTCTCCACTGACTTCGAGGATCATTAAGGTTGGAAAAGACCTCTAAGATCATGCAGTCCAATCATCAACCCATCACCACCATGCCTGCTAAACCATGTCCTCAAGTGCCACGTCTGCACGTGTTTTGAACACCTCCAGGGATGGGGACTCCACCAGCTCCCTGGGCAGCCTGTTCCAATGCCTGACCGCTCTTTCAGTCAAGAAATATTTCCAAACAGCCAATCTAACCCTCCCCTGGCGCAACTTGAGGCCATTGCCTCTCGTCCTATCGCCAGTTACTTGGGAGAAGAGACCAACACCCGCCTCACTACAACCTCCGTTCAGGTAGTTGTAGAGAGCGATAAGGTCTCCCCTCACCCTCCTCTTCTCCACACGAAACAATCCCAGTTCCCTCAGCCGCTCCTCTGAAGACTTGTTCTCCACACACTTCAACAGCTTCGTTGCCCTTACCCACGTGCCAGCCTTGCTCTTTACAGCGCTGCACCACGATGGGCTCTGAGGTGGCTTACCCAGGCACACCACGCTGGCATCTTCTTGGTGGTTGCAGTTACTTTCTCCCCAGGGTCTGGCCCTGCACGCGGAGAGGGCAGCCTCGCTGCCCGTGCAGTTCACATCGTCCAGCCAGATGGGCTCGGGCCCCATCCCAAAATGAGCTCTGGGTGGAGCGGCGACGGCCGTCCCACAGCCCAGCTGCCGGCACACCACTTCTGCGTCGTCC